TCTCACACAGCTTCTGTGCACGGCACCTTCTCAGCAAGCAGGGGCGCTTGCAGCTGTAGGGGGCGCCAATTTGCCAATTCCCCACACAGTGATATGATAGAACAGATAGATAATAGAAAACCGCTTCGCAGCGCAGAGGATTTTTTTTTTAAGTGCTCGTGCCGCCCCCCATGTGTCATGAAAAAATGCCGTGCTGGGTGGCTGCCACCTTCGCCCGTGCCCAGTAGAGACCTTCTGTTAAGGGATGTCTTTGTTTTTACTGATCCACATTAATGGCATTAATGTAAATGTTTACCAGCACTGTTTATATTGATGGAAGTGTCTAATTCCTGCTAACATGCTAACGTGCTCTCTGCTACAGGTGACTCTCTGAACACCGTGACGTTTGCCATTTCAGAGGAGGGTGACAGCTTGTCGGTGGTAGAGGATGCAAATGTCTGGATCTTCCTGAAGGTGTCAAAGGGAAACCGAGTGAAAGGTAAAGTGATGCTGCAGCTCCTGCAGCTTCATCAAGAAGATCAGAATGAAGAGGAGGAGGAGGAGTGTGTCTCAGAGAAGATGGTGGACACTCGCCGCAGCGGCTGGCACACCCTCGCTGTCTCTCAGAGCATTCAGACTCTGCTGGATGCTGGCCGCAGCTCGCTCAGGCTGCGGGTTTCCTGTCTGATGTGTGCAGAGGCTGGAGCCTCACCCATTCTGGTGCCAGCCAAGGCAGAACGAGCTGGAGGCCGAGATCAGTCTCACCGACCATTCCTCATGGTGGTGCTACGAGCTCGAGAGGAGGTGACTCAACGAAGAGTCAAACGAGGTCTGGAGTGTGACGGGAAAATACACATCTGCTGCAAACGACAGTTTTACGTGAACTTCAGAGACATTGGCTGGAATGACTGGATTATTGCTCCATCCGGTTACCATGCCAACTACTGCGAGGGCGACTGTCCAAACCATATGGCGAGCATCAGCGGCTCATCACTGTCCTTCCATTCAGCAGTCATCAATCATTATCGTATGAGGGGTTACAGTCCATTTCAAAACATCAAGTCGTGCTGTGTACCGACGAGGCTACGTGCAATGTCGATGCTCTACTACAACGAAGAGCAGAAGATCATCAAGAAAGACATCCAGAACATGATCGTGGAAGAGTGTGGCTGCTCATAAACATTTGTAAAGACTTTAGAAACACTTCCTGTTTCCTGCAGGAAAAAAACATCAGCTCAGCACTTTCCCAGTAAAGATAAAGTATTTATGTTTAGTGACGAAGCTTTGTGTTTCTTATTGGGAGAGACTTTTTTCCACATTGGAATGGCCTGACAATACTATGCAACACTTAACCTGTCGACATTTATATGTGTGCTTTGTCTTTTGGGTTAGGGTCTCTTCTTATAGAAAGGGAGGGAATGGGTTGTCTCTTGAAAGTGGAGGTTCATTTATAAGTGGATCTGTTATCTATAAAGTGCAAAAATAAATGTAGCTGTATTCATGCTCAGTTGAGTTATAAACAGTACTTAAAGGTCAACTTTTGCTCTACATGAATTACTGGAGTTGAGCCAACTAATTTATGAATTAATTCAATGGATAGGGTTAGGGTTAGGGTTAGATAGAAGATATTTTCTGGAACATATTTGCATACATGTGTACATCAGTATCCACTTTATGCTAGTATAAGGAATTTATCCTGAAGTGGCAACTTTATACTAGTTAGTTATTTAACTAATTAACGGCTCATCTTCATCTGCTGATTCTCACTACTCACTAATATTCTCATCTAAACAGTCATGACAACAGTTGATTAATGCATGCTTGTGTTTAATCAGGATACTGGAAAACGCATCCATGGCTTCTCAGTCCAGTACAACTGTACCAGTGTAGTTCCTGGTGCTGAGCCAGTACTGGCAGAGAGCAGCATTGTATCTGCCTCTGGATGCTTGAAGACATAGACCCAGCTGTCAACGCCAGTGCTCTGGTTGGTTGAAGCCTCTCCCTCAAAGTGTATTATATACCTGACCAGTTTGTGTCTTCAACTGTTCCTTCACAAGCTTCTGCAGTATGAACTTGTTTCCCGAATCGACCATGAGTTTGTTGAACTCAGCAGATCCTTATAAGAATTGAACCAAACTGTGAGGACATGGACGTGTTTGTTCAAACTCCAAGGTGATCTGCTGATAAAACTCTGGCAGTGACCTCTGGGTTCTCTGAGTTAGGGTTAGGGAGAAGAGAAGGTGTTGAGTGATCCTGATTCTGAGTAGTTGAGTCTGGAGTTAGAAGACGGACTCAGAGCTCATATGTAGACATTTGTCATCTCATTTTCTATGCAGGGTGTATATGTTACCAGCGGGCAGGCCAGAGCTTCTAAAGCCGTGTTTCCACCAAGCAGTCTAGGCAATGCCAAATTGAGGGGGGATGTCTGTACAGATCACAGATCAACTATAATCTGCTGCACCACTAAAGTAGTCATGCCCACCCCACCCTGGTCCAGTCCATTTCAGTTTGTTACATATTGGAATAGCTATTTTTGTGTTTCATTTAGCAAAAGTTGTGCAGGATAGTCAATTTATACCATTCATTTTTTTCTCTGCTTTCTTTCAGCAGTCTTTTGTCTTGCAGCATTTCCTCAAACACAGCTTGTGTCCTTGTTGTACCAAGAACAAAGAAATGTGTGTGAGTCAGAGAGAGTGAGCATTAGAAAAGTAACAGTGAATGGAGCATAGAGGAGGAAAAAAGTTAGCGGTAAGTTGTCAGTCTGGCAAACATAGTATAAGTATATATTACAAGACCAAGAAAAGTCTCTCTGTTTACCAGATACTGGAAAAGTAAAGAGGATTAGTCCTAAAGCCCCAGTACCAACCCTACCTACATAAAGAGTACTGTCTACAGTCGAAACACAAAACAGATCTATGGTTTAGGTACAGGTAGGTGGGTTAAGTACAGGTTTCAGCGGTATTATGTTTGACTGTGTTTGGTGCAAACACAGCTCAAGTGGTACATTGAGAAGAAGTGTACAATCCGACTCATTGGATGTTCATGTGGCAATAACAAACTATGTGATGTATTGTCAGCTCTCATAGAGCTGTATTTCAGCAGTGGGAGCTAAATTAAAAAAGTTTTTTAAAACTTCATAGATGACAAATCCACTGAGAAACAAACCACAATCACAGAGGTGCTAGAGATGAGCAGTATAATGTGAGAGGATCATTCTGATATGTTCCACTGTTTACTGAAGGTTTAACCTGTGTTAAAATCTCTGATGTAGAGATACTTGAAAAAAACATGTTCAACTGGCTGCTGGAGCCAAACATTATAATTAATATAATTATATATTATATTATATATATTATGTGTTATTATGAAATAAGTTGAATGTTGATAACATATTTTACATTCCTGGCAGAGATTTCGATCAGAAGAAAGCCAAAGACACTCAACAGTGAAGTTTAAACAAACTGTGATTAAAAGTGTCAGTTAATGAGTATTTTTAGTATAAATTATTGAACACTTTATAAGTTTTTTTGTTGTTTCTTCATTATAAAAAAGAAAAAAGAAATGTTACTGCCAACTTTATATAATTTATTTGCTTTTATGTTTTTCTTAGCTTCATTATTAAACAAACTGTCAACATTTCATCATTAATTGTCCTTATTTTGTGAAAACAAACAGACCACAAATCGATTTGCAAGCACCTGATCAGATTTAACTCCTCAGAGGATAAACCTCAAAAGAACATGATCTTTCCTCTAGTACCCCCATCAGGACAATTTTCCAACAACAGATAAATCATCATGATGGAATTAACTCTGCAGCCTGTAGGGGATGCTAACAGGACTTAACACATTGTAAATTCATTTTGCACATTTGTTGAAAAGTTTGGATTAAATTACAACCTTAGATAAGGAAGTGTTTTCACGTCAGCTGATTTTATATACAGCAAATAAAAGTTTTCTTTGTGTTTTTTGTGGTTTAATGATGTTGACAGTTTGTTTGAGGTCATCCTCTCTGCGTCCTGTTCAGGTGTTTTCAGAGATCAGGATCAGATCTGAGCTCCGCTCTGCTTTCACACTTCCACAAAGACAGTCAGAGCGATATAGAAACCCGACACTCAGTTCTTTGTTTGCAGGTACAAACTGGTGCGATGGCTGACTTAGAGGCTCCTCGACTTCCTCTTTTGACTGTCACACCAAACAGCCGCTAATGTTTGTAAAGTTTGCAGGTCCACAACAAGCAGGGCAGCCACAGCCATTTGGCATAGCAACACTCTGTTTGTTCACTGACCTACAAACTCATCGCTGAGTCGACAAGTTGATTTAAGAAAGACAAAGACGGCTGCTGAGGCGAACACAAAGCACTCTGGGTAGTGGAGCACAACAGAAAGACTTCCTGAACACATTGAAACATTTATCAAAACTGATCTCAGAGCTGCTATATGAAGAAAAATGCACCACATCTCAGACATAATGAAACCAGCCAGAGAACTTGGCTGAAGTCTGTGTGTGTGTTTGACCTGTTGTTGGCTGGCAACCCTCCAAGGTGTATTATACCTCCGACCCAGTGTAGCTGTGGACAGAGATCAGTTTAAGCTCAGGAAAAAAGGTTTGATCAATAAAAAATAAAATACTCTTTTTAGAGTATACTGACCAAAAATTGCTTCAAAATTGGACATTAAATTAAAAATTCCTGTTGGGTTTGGTTTGATATGGGTCCACAAGGCTTTTTTGTACAAATAGACGTCATACATACTGTATGTCTAGCAATGTTTTTATACATCTCTGTGAAACATGATGCTGGGGCTGCTTAGTTGAAATTTTCTAGGGGGCGCTATGGAGCCATTTTGCCACATCTATGCATAAGAGCCATATTGATGTGAAATTGCACCATTTGTTATGTGTGTACTGAATTTCATGAGTTTTTGAATATGGCTAGCCCACCAGAAATGCGATAAACTATAAAAACAAAACATTGACCTTCGCCATGTTGTCATGGCAACAATTCAATTCAATTCAATTTTATTTGTATAGCGCCAATTCATAAGTTATCGCAGGAGACTGAGACCAGATTTCAGCTTGATCTGGTCAGTCTACTAGGAGTAGTACATTAAAGTATAAAACATTTTCATAACTAATGATTCTTAACTTTTTGAGTATGTTGAGGCCTCCAAAAATGTGATTAATTTCATCCTATGTGATGGTGGTTTATGCTATGGAGGATTCATTTAGACCACAATCTCCTCAAAATTCCACCAGACTTGACCTGAGTCCCCCTCACGCTGTCAGCAGCTGCTATCACCCTGCTAAACCACATTGTATCTGACACATTTTCACTCATATGCTCTTGTTTTAATCTATCCAGTGGTTGCTCCATGCAGGCTCGCATCTCAGCTGCGTCTCCCAGACATAACTGCATCCAGAGCTATTCATTTACATTCACTTCACGAGAAATACGTGCATAAACATGAGGTTGGTGCCAGTATACACTGTGTTCCAAATTATTATGCAAATACAATTTCAATTAAACAAACATTTCATGTTTTGTTTTTCAATGAAAGTTTTCAATTGTGCTGCTTTCCATGTCTGTTTAAATCACTGACATCAATCTCAGACAGGTTTG